TGCAAGAGTTAGAGTAGGTGGTTTTTGGTAATTTGATGGGTTGTGAATATTTATCATCATTTGGGGGTTATTTGTTAGTTGCAAGTTGTTACTGGTCATGGTAAGAGAGGAACCTAAGCAAGGAGGTTGAATTGAATGATCTCTTTCAGAAAAAAAAGGGGGGACACTATGGAAAAGATAGGATAAAAGAGTAATCTACTTTAAACTAAAAAACAACAATTAATCTTAGATAATTTACAGTGGTATGGAATTTTGTATATTGGCACAAATTTGAGCTCATTTTCGTTAGAACATACTCTATATAAGTTTTATTCTTGTTTAAGATATTTGTGTATATTGTTGCAAACGTAAGGTTTCTACTTTTGTAAAAGGTATTATACCTATACAACTCATTTACAAATGTAATGTATAATTAAGAAATATGTGTTAGTAGTTAGTCATTTATAATAGTAGTTATGTTAGGTATGTTTATAAGGTTAAACAGAAATATTTTAGATATATAGGTGGTATTCAAATACTTCAGAGCCTATGACATTTGAGATGTTTTAATAACCTAAGGCTTGTCATGAAACTGAGTCATGAAATGTCTGTTCCTGACAGCACCAATTTACTTCAAAAAAGGATAATGGACATTGAAGTATCTCCATACGGTGTCTGCTTTTATTGTGGCAAAGTTTGACACTTGGCAAGAAACTGACAAGTGCCTTCAATGCTGACAGTATACTATCCAAATTGAACAAGCAGGACACAAAAGACAACTGCCAAATTTTGCCAAGACAAAGTAGGACAGTCTTTCAAAATTTCTGTTTCACAGAAAGTCTGTCAGATATTTTAGGCCTGTAGGCTGAAGATGGATGCCCCAGTGTTATTGAGAAAATGTGGTTGACTGTCTGGGCATCCAGCTGTTTCTGTCATTTCTATGGTTTTGGAAGTTGTTTGCTCTGCACTTCCTGAATATATCCTTCTTGGGTCTCTGATAGAGTAGAAGACACAATAGTTATAGTTATATTTTCCCTAGTTACTAAGTTCAGAAAAAGAAACTTGCAAAAAATATAAAGTGTATAAGGTTGAGAGATATAAAAGCTTAAATTGTTTATCTAAGAAAATGTTTTGAGGTCTAAAAGATAGTTTGTTTTAGTGATACAAGTTAGGATAAAAAGTGAATTAGGTACAAAATTTGGATTCACCCAGATAGGGTAAATAACAGAGAAGTTCTATGAATTTGCCAAATACAACCAGACTAGACATTATGAATATAATTCTTATACAATAACTGTTCTTATTGTGTATAGTTTTACTAAGTCAAACTTTCTTTTTATTTAGACAAAAAGGGGGAAATGTTGGGGGACATTCAATCACACTGTGAACCACAAAGTTTACCTCACATTGATCAAAAAATAAAAGTAACCTTGGGTCAAAAAGCTGAGTTAGCAATTCGTTGGAGGAAGTAATCATAGAACATTAGAGGTCAACCTGGAGAGATAGAGACACACAGCAAGTAGTTGGGAGGGAATGAGAGTGGCTCTTGTTTTTCTAATTTGACATAGAAGAAGTTCAATCTTTCAGAGAATCCAGCAAAGAGAGAAGGTTAGCTTTTTGCTATTCAGCCTCTCTGAGGTAACAGGTTTCACCCCAATCTTCGAATCGCAAGTCTTACTAATAAATAAAATAATAGAGATTTAGTTCAAGCTACCTTTAGTAGCAGCAACAGAGGTGGTGTCTGCAAGAAGAGAATTTCAGGCAGGCTAAGGCCTGTGCAACAAGGCTGATGCTAAAAAAGCAGGCAAGTAACTGTGAAATTGCAATTTTTGGCTAATTGGGGAACTGCCACTGTGCCCCAGTTAAAAAAAATATACCAGTCTTTGCAAACTGAAACACATTAAAATTTTAGTGTCTTTAAAATGTCCAATCTCTCTAAAAATCCAAAATCTCCTGTGAAAATTCAAAGTCATTCAAAGGAGCTATCGACTCCTTTAAAATTCAAAATTAAATACCTTCTTCAAGAAGGAAGAACCAGGTTACAGTCACATCCTGAACCAAACAAAAACAAATTCCAACAGTATAAATCACTAAAAGTCCAATTATCTGGGATTTGTTCACTGTCTTCTGGGCTGTTTCAAAGAACTTGAGTCACTCTTCTTGCTCTGCTCTCAGCAACAACACATCTTGTATTCTAGCCTCCAGCTGGCTCTACTCCACTGATGCTGTTTTTGGCAGTCATCCCATGACACTAGCCTCTGCAAATCACTGGTGTCTTGGGCTTCACTTTTACCAAGAGCCTGTCATAGGCTCTCTTCTTGGCACCAAACTTCAATATCTTTAAATGATCCCTTCAGTTCTTCGCCTTCAACTGACACTTGAGATTGCACTTTCACCATTGGCCTCTCCTGCTCTAACACAATGCCAAGCCTTAGATACTCTCCATGACCCTTTCATTCCTTCAAAACCAGTACACCACTGTATGATTCTTTAGCTACCACTACAGATGCTAAAGTAACTTGCCACCTGAGGCTCCTCTGTGGAACACAGCTTCTGTGTGCTGAGTCTCAGGAAATAATTTCCAGAAGATTCACCTCAGTGATGCAAGGCCCTTCTTGATCACCACCATCATTCTCAGGTCCAGCTAACCAACATCCAGAATCCCAGCAAACCAAAGGTTTCACTTTAGTACTGAAGAATCACAACTTTTTCTTCAGCCTCAGCTAACAAAAAACAACAGAATTTTGAATCATAATAGGAAACAGCCCTGATAGGGTCTTCAAACTTCCCTCTGAAAAGGAGAAGTTCACAAGCCTATCCTCTGTCCTCTGCACTGTTCTCAATATTCTTATCATCCAAGCTCCTATGCAGCATCTCACAGAGTTCTCAGCACTCAATGGCTTTTCTTTCCCAAGGTTCCAAGGTACTTTCACACTTCTGCACAAAACGTGGTTAGGTCTACCACAATACCCCACTACAATGGCACCAACTAGCTAGTGTTTCTATTACTGTAATAAAACACCATGACCAAAAACTTGTTGGGGAGGAAAGAATTTATTTGACTTACACTTCCATAACATCATTTATCATCAAAGGAAGAAAGGACAAGAACTCAGACATTGTAGGAACATGGAGGCAGGAGCTGATGGAGAGGCCATGGAAGGGTGCCGCTTACTAGCTTACTTCCTTTGGCTTGTTCAACCTGCTTTCTTATAGAACTGAGGACAAAAAGCCCAGCAATAATACCACCCACCATCAACGGCACACCCCACTAACCTCATTGATCACTAATAAGAAAATAAAACCAGAACATTTGGAGGCATTTTGTCAACTGAGGTTTTCTCCTTACAGATAACACTACTTTGTGCCAATTAGACATAAGGTTAGTCAGCACAGCCATTCTATGTTTATGTTTTAAACTAAGGCTTTGAAACATAGCTTAATGTCTCTAATTGTAATAATTTGTTATTATTATTATCATTATTATTTTATCAGGATTATTTTGGTTTTATAGGTTTTGTGGTTTCACATTAATTTTAAGAAAGATTCCTGTGAAGTGAGAGATGGGATTCTAATTGAGTTTACAATGAATCTGCAAATAGAATGGTAGAATAATCATTTTTATAATGTTAAGTCTATGAATCTACAAGCTTGGGATGCCTTTCTATTTTATAATGTCTTTTTCTATCTCTTTCTTTAGAAATTTAATGTTTTTGTTGTTGAGATTTTTCCTTGGTTAGGTTTGTTCGTAGATTATTTTCCTTGAGGCTATTGTGAATGGAGGTATGGCAATGGTTTCTTTCCATGATTGCTTGTTGGTAGTGTATAGACCAGTTATTCCTTAGTGAAAGTTGATTCTCTATCCTGCCACATTGCTGAATTACTCATTTCAAGAATTTCCTGAGGCCGGGCGTTGATGGTACACGCCTTTAATCCCAGCACTCGGGAGGCAGAGGCAGGGGGATCTTTGTGAGTTCAAGGCCAGCCTGGTCTCCGGAGCGAGTGCCAGGATAGGCTCCAAAGCTACACAGAGAAACCCTGTCTCAAAAAAACAAAAAAAAAAATTTCTGGTAGAAATTTTAAGTTCTCTAATGTATAATATTACACTATCTGCAAATATGGATAGCTTGGCTTCATTGTTTCTCTATTTGTATCCATTTAATTTCCTTTATTGCTTTATTGCTCCAGCTAGCACTTCAAACAACATATTTAAAAAGGAGAAGAGATAGTGGACTTCATTATCTTGTTCCTGATTTCAGTGGGCTTGCTTCAACTTTTCTGGGTTTAGAATGATGTTGGCTGTGAATTTCTCAAACATAGACATTATTATGTTGAACTATGTTCTCTCTGTCCTGTATTCTCTAAGATGTTTATCATGAAAGCACATTGTATTTTATCAGAAGTTTTATTTTTCTCTATCTTTTGAGACACTTACTTTTTATTCATATCAATTCATATGGTTTATTGTGCTTATCCACTTGAGTAGGTTGAACCATCCCTACATTTCAAGGCTAAAATTAACTTGATGTTGGTGAATAGTCTTATTGAGGTATGTCTGTATAGGGTTTACTAATGGAGGAATGTCCTTCTGTATATGTTTCTCTTGATGAATACAACACTGATTGGGTGTTTGGCCAGGCAGAAAGTTTAGGCAAGGCTAGGAGATGGGGAGAATTCTAGGAAATGTAGGCAGATGGAGTCAACATGTAGGCCTTCAAAGGAGTAACGACAGATCTCGACCCTTCTCAGGTAAGCTAAGACCACATGGAAATAGATTAATAGCAAGGGGTTAATAATTAAGACAGAGCTAGCCAATAAGAAGCCCTAGCCAGCACCCAACACTTTTATAATTAATATATTTCCCGTGTGTTTCTTTGGGGCTCAAGGGTGGCAAAAATAGGAGGGACAAAAAAAACATTCATGATCATGTTTAAAGGTATCTTACTGAGCAGTTTTGAATGTGTATTCACAAGGAATATTGGTCTGTAATTTTCTTTTTTTCTGTCTTTAATTGATTTTGGTTAAAGTATGGAATGTTCAAGAATGTGTGTGTCATCCTTGCACAGAGGACATGCTAATCCTCTCTGTACCATACCCATTGTATGATATGTGCCATCAAAATGAGCTTTTTTGCATTTTTTAAATCTTTTTTTTATTTGAATTAGAAACAAGATTGTTTTACATGTCAATCCCAGTTCCTACTCCCTCCCTGCCTCCCCTACCACCTGCCCCAACTAAAACCATACTTATCACATATCCTTTCTGTTCCCCAATGAGGATGAGGCCTTACATAGAGGGTTATCAGAGTCTATCATATCATTTTGGATAGGGCCTAGGCCCACCCCTGTGTGTCTTGGCTCAGGGAGTATCCCTCTATGTGAACTGGCCTCCCAAAGTCCACACCTATGCTAGGGATAAGTACTGAACTACTACAGGAGGTCCTGTAGATTTCCAAGGTCTCTTCACTGAAACCCATTTTCCTGAGGTCTGAATCAGTCCCATGCTGGGATATCAGCTATAAGTCTGGGGACCAAGAGCTCCCTAATGTTCAGGTCAGTTGTTTTTGTGGGTTTCACCAGCCTGGTCTGGACCCCTTTGACTATCACTTGTTCTCTGCAACTGGATTCCAGTTCAGTTCAGTGATTAGTTGTGGGTGTCTGCTTCTACTTCCATCAGCTGCTTGATGAAGTCTATAGGATGGCATATAAGACAGTCATCAATCTCATTATCAGAGGAGGGCATTTAAGGTAGCTTCTCCTCTGTTGTTTAGATTGTTAGTTGGTGTCATCTTTGTAGGTCTCCAGACCTTTCCCTAGTCCCTGATTTCTCTGCAAACCTAACATGTCTCCCTCTACTATGGTATCTCCTTTCTTGTATTCTTCTATTCTTCCCGAGACTCGAACTTTCTGCACCCTCATGTTGTCCTCACCCCTTTTCTCCCCTTCTCATTCTCCTAGCTCCCTCCCCTCTCCCACTTGCTCCCAATTTGCTCAGGGATCTTGACCCTTTCCACTTCTCCAGGGAACCATGAATGTCTCTCTTAGGGTCATCCTTGTTTACTAGCTTATCTGGCAGCGTGGATTGTAGTCTAGTGTTCCTTTACTCTAAAATCCGCATATTAGTGAGTACATACCACGTTTGTCTTTTTGTGATTGTGTTACCTTACTCAGAATGGTTTCTTCTAGTTCCATCCATTTTCCTGCAAATTTCAAGATTCCATTGTTTTTTCCTGCTGAGTAGTACTCCATTGTGTAAATGGACCACATTTTCTCTGTCCATTCTTTGGTAGAGGGGCGTTTTGGCTGTTTTCAGTTTCTGGCTATTACAAATATTGCTGCTATGAACATTGTTGAACAGATGTCTTTGTTGTATGAATGTGCTACTTTTGGGTATATGCTTAGGAGTGGACTTGCTGGATCTTGTGGTAGACTGATTCCCATTTTCTTGAGGAGTCGACATAATGGTTTCCAAAGTGGCTGTACAAGTTAGCACTCCCATCAGCAATGGAGAAGTGTTCCCCTTTCTCCACATTCTCTCCAGCATAAACTGTCATTGGTGTTTTTGATTTGGGCCATTCTGACAGGAGTAAGAGGGTATCTCAGAGTTGTTTTGATTTGCATTTC